TCTCTCTGTAGCTCAGATCCCCTTCTGTAAAATGGGAATAATTTGACCTTATCGAGATTTAGTGAAGATAAGTGAACATGAAAATAATCAAGAAAACTATGATTGCAAAGCCATTTACACCATGAGCACCCTAGGAAGCCTTGATTAAATTAATAACCTTGTCAGCAGAGCAGGAACCTAATAATAATGAGACTATAAAACATAACAAAATGAGTACAAGAATGACAAAATATTGAATACCTGCACAGTGTTTTCTCCCTATCCATCCTCTGGCAGGATCAAAACAGATCGATTAAAAAAATTATTAGGCAGTTCTTCAACTAAAGACGATCATACTCATAAAACATGTGAACTTAAAATTGCACAACCTTATTTCTAGTGTTTCCTAATACCCAAATACTTCACTTTGCAACTTTTAAGGTAATTTTTTCTCCATAGTAAAAACATTATGTACAATGTTCAAGATAAAAATCAAAAACCATGGAAGTTCATCTGCCTGTTTAGGGTGACTTTTACCCCTCAACTTATCCCTATAAGTTATCCCTATAAGACACCTATCCCATTTACTCCTTTCAGCTGAAACCAGGCAAAGTCAGTGGTTTTGAGGCAAAACCAGATGAAGAGCTCACATGACTCCTAACAAAAAGCAATTTTCACACGGCCTCTTATGAACTGAACAGAAACAGGCAAGCCTGGCACAACTCAATGTTCTACAAGACATGCACAAAGGGACTAGTTCTGAGAGGTGCTGAAGGTCTCTGGGTACTGAGCACTGCAGGATCAGGCTCAACTTGCTAATGACTTTTCATAGGGTAGTGGGGATTAACCACAATGCGACTCCTGCAGTCATTTGCAGCCTGAATGAAACAGGAAAAACTCTTTTTGACTTTGCAAGGAAAGGGTTTGTGCCTTTTCCTTTTTGCTGAGAACAGCCCCTTTTCTTTTCTCTAGACAAAAAAAATGTTTTTTTCTCACTAGGCTTTACTTGGAAATGCTAAGGATGTGTCACCCCCTCCAGAGAATGACAGGCCAACAACTAGACCTTCTTTAACAGAGGACCAAGTTGTTGTTATACAGCCAATAAAAAAACTATTGAGGTGGAATCAACCACAAAACCATGGGTCCTCTGTCTGTCCAGCTCCCTTCCCAGGCACTAGAAACCTCAAATTCCTGACCATGGTGACAGACTGGAGTAGCAGCCAAAAAAGCACACAAACATGGTTGCTGCCCCCTATACCTGCCAGACAATTTCCTCTCCCAGGAAAGCATACAGAACAATGGAGTAGGGTATCTTCTCCTCTCTATTTCCCAGGCCATACATATAGACTCATCCATGGCCACAGCTCTCTTTCATGGCACTGCTTTAACATATCCAAAATTATCAACACCTCTATTATTACTGTAGCTACCACTATTAACTGTCTAAAGCTTTGACACTAAAAATTCCATGTGCCATACCTTGAAATTATGGTTATTTTTTTTAGAAAACCCTTAATCAAGCTATATGATTAGGATGAGAGAAACACCATAAGTAGCAGCTAACTAGACAGTCTCTGAATGCTGGGCACCATTATGAAATGAAAAGTGAAGTTTCAGAGTCTTACCTGTCCTTCTTTGGAACATAGCATCAGAGTTTGAAGAATAAAAAGTGACTTTTGATTGATTCAGCTGCTTATCTTAGCAAACTGTATACAGTGATGGAATGTGAACCTTCTCAAGGCTATGGCTTGCAAGGTTGTTTTAAGTAAGGTAAGAAATCCTTTAATCTCCTAATTTTTCCCAGAGTTGTCTACACTGATACCTGTAGCCAGTGACAAGTCTACTAACTCAAACGAAGTCTTAAAACATTAACAGGGATAGACATTTCTAAGCAGGAAAACAAGTGAAGGGAGTCCAAACTCCCAGACTTTGCTTACTGCTCCTCCAACAGGATCAGACTATTTTCGCTTATAGCTACAGATAAGTAGTTATCAATTACAGGGTCACAAAAATATTTTAACTTTTGAGGTCCTTGCATGTACAATGAGATTCTTCTGAGTGTACCAAAAGGAAAATAGCATCTAGGACCTACTGCAGTACTTCTTTCTAAAGTCTTTGCTTCTTTTTAAAACGAAAGGAAAAAAACCCAAAACGAAAAACCACAACAAATGCCAACCCTTCCAAGACAATAAATAGGACTGGACCCAGGCATCAAAGCTGCTAGAGAACATTGAATTATCAGAGGAAGTGAGTCTATACCTACTAGGGTAGTGAGGAAACGGTATCCTCTGTACAGATCTGAGAAAGGGTAACTACTAGTCTGCATGTCAGGAAAGCTTCATACTACTGCAAAGTATCCTCTCAGTCATCACTGCACTTGGGTGAGTCGCTGTTTGACTTCAGCAATAGCTTTAGGAGTAGCCAAGGCCACAGAAGCAACAAAAGCTAGAAATAGTTCAGCATAGAGGCTGAAGTCTTTATTTGCAATCCTCAAACCAACTGAGGAGTTGGATTTGCTTCCAGTCACAAATAAATAAGGGCTCAGCCTTCTAGCCTAGATGATAGAAAAGACCTAGTAGTACTAGTTAAATGGGGGAAGAGACAGAGAAAGAGATAAAGAGACTCCTTTTCAAAGCCAGAAGTAAAGACATCCTTTTGGGCCTGGCATATTCATTTACACACGCATACACACAACACTAAATCCAACTTGTGCCCCTGCTACTAACCTCTCCTGGCATTTACAGAATGCCAGTCTAGTCTGCTGTGTGATACATAGCAACCTGTATATCCCTCGGTATTATTAACTCTTAGACTGAGAGCACTGGGCTTAAAAGAAACTGCAGAAACACACATTTGTGTAAATACTGAGTCTTCCCCAAGCATTTTTGTTCAGTTTTGGTGATATTTGTTTAATTAAAAAATCTGAAGAGATTGTGAATACTCTAGAAGACTGTGGTAATGTGATATGATTATCAAAGGAAAGATGTAACAGCCTGACAGTTTACAAAGGCAGTATTCAGTTCTACATGTAAATGAGATCACATACAGTAAACAAATAGGATCACTGTTCACAATAATTACCACTCTAATTCACAGATTGCCTCAAGAGTAGGTAGTAACAGACCAAAAAAACCAACACAAAACCTCCCTCCCCCTCAAAAACCACAAACCCCAAACTTCCCCCCCCAGCCCAACCTTTACACAATAAATTGGCTTTATGTGGCCACGACTTAGAGGAATTTCAATTGCAGACTTAACATTGCAGAGAGCAAGCATAAAGGTTTTGAATGGTGTGGTTGTTCAGAAGAAACCTAGAGCATCCCCCTTCCCTTCACAGGCATCAGCTTAATTAATTGTAAGGAACCTGGTCGTCATGCAAATGAATTCAGTCCTGTGATTGGTTATTGCAGCAATGAAGATTCTCACACACTATCCACATGAGTTCTGAAAATAGCAAGGAGCATCTGCTCTGTGTAGACTACCCCATCAACTTTCCTTTTCCTATTTGTTTCAAAAAGTCTTTCAGTAAATTTATGGTTCCTGACACCAGAATTTATAAAGGAGCAAAACAGTATCATGTGAACAAGACCTCTGGCTAAGTGAAATAATGTTTCTGGTAACACTTATCTACAGACTGTAAGATGACTGCTGGACAAATTAACTACTCTAGTAATATATTTACTTCATATTAACTACTCTGTGATCTGCACTGCACATCTATACACAAAGACCTCTATTGTTCATTTATGTCTTAAATATATCAGACAGAACTTAATTATAATCTTCTGTTCACTCCAATTAGTTATTTTAATGCAAAATCAGTCCTGATATTTAATAAAGTTCATTATTCCACTTCTAAACTAGTTTGTCATGTCTATTTTAAATTTTGAAGCCATGCAACGTCATACCTACTTAAATTTTAACAATACAAATACCGCCCTCAGAAGGAAGAGCATACATTCATTTTCCAAGAGTGAAAAGCTATGCAACTTCAGTTTTGCTTGGACAGAGAAAGTAGGCAAGTTTAATATCTTAAGCTATTTTGGCCAGTGAACCATAGTATTACAAAAAGTTTGTCTTCAACACAACAAAAAAGAAGTTTCAAATAAATAAAATTGTTTCGTTTACCTTCTCTTCTCCCTTGAAGGACAGTCTTAATTTATGGTCCTTTCAAAGTGTAGCTATTGCTGTCCTGAACATAAAACAGGGCTCTGAACATACAGCCTCAGAATAAGGCTTTATCTTAATAATAAAATTAATGAGATTAGAATGGGCCCTCAAGAAATTTTAGTAGCCTGGAATTTTTGTTACACACTTTTAATACTAAGTCATCTCACAATTCAAAGTAGCGTTCCATTTCTAGGACTGTCTTAACACACACTGCACCCTGCAAGGAACAAATGTGCAACTACACATGCACTGATTAAATATTTATATTAAAAGAAAAATATGTGCCATCACAAAAGCAAACCATATTTTGTAAAGATATAATTCTCTTCTATTACTCTAACTAGAAATCAGAATCAAGGCGACACAAGAGAGTTAAACTCCCCTGTTATTATAGCTGAATAACTAACACTTAGATAGTCCTTTCAAAAATAATGAGATACAGAAGCCAAAGTACTAGCTCAAACATCTCAAAAGGATGAAGATGCAACTCTCAAACTCTTAAGAGAAGAAACATCCTGGAAAAAAACCCCAAGAAATATTTAAAATCATCCTCTTTCTTTCACCTCTGCCTCCTCATTAGTATGTGTTGGAGGCTCTTTCCTCTAGCAGCAAGAGCCAAGCTCCCGAGCAAGTGGCACACTTTGTTCTATGTTCTTTCAGGATATGGAATTCTCCTTTCCTTGTATCCTCTAAAAAAAGAGTTAAAACTCTCCTCCTGACTCTCTTTGGCTGTATGAGAAAATTTCCAGCTGAACTCACATCAGTAAGTGCTATAGGGTTACATGTATAAATGGTCAAAATATTGGAAGTTAACAAATAGTCTGATCGAACATAAAATTTATTGTACTTACTCCCAGAATTCCATCACTGGAGAAGTGGCATTTTGTAAAGAGACTTGACTGCAGTTGCTCATATTAAGTTTTTGAAATTCCACACAGTTTTCTAGAAAAGAAAAAAAGAGTATATTTCTTCTTGTCCATCTTCAAGTTAATGCATCTTGTAAAGCCACCATTCTATAATACGCTTTCTCTATCTGGTTAAAAGATTAATGTCACAGCTGCTACTTCTGCAACACCACATTTTGATCACCAGATCACAGGCCTATCCCAGAAAAATATCCATGCTGTATACTACGTTCTCCTATAACACACTTTCCAAAGGCACAGGTGCAATGGCAAGGGCCAATAAAACACCTGAGATGGAAGAAAGACACTTTGAGAAACTGAGACAGTTGAGTGGGAATTACAACATACTCGTACTCCAACTGCTGGTTCAATGGCCAACGGTAACAATTGGCATATGAAACACTGCCAGCAACAAGTTTCCACTTTGTCTTAATACAGCAAGTGAAAAGTCACTCTGGCTTATTATTATTATTATTATCTCTAATACAGAGAAAGGAGACCAAAGCAGCTCAGCATTGTTGAGTTGACAGTATTTGAACAGCAATCAACATCAGCTAAAGCTCCTTTGCACGGTTGCCAAAATTGATCCTGAAGCCTTCCACATCTATTGGGCCCACGACTAGTTCCCTCACATAACCTACAAGGCAAGATTTCAGATAGCTTTAGGTGTCCTCAAAGAACAAAATAATGACCAATTAATAAAAACCATGAAAGACAGTACAATTGGTACACGATTTGAAATCGGACAGTAATAGAAGGAATAAATGCAAAGACATCAGGAACATGGAAATAAGGGCATCGGTATGTATTCCTCCCCATAGATATTTGTGATCTTCAAATACAGTAAGTAGAGCATTACAAATAAAAATAACAATGAGAGGACAGATGCAGAGCCCTATGGTGCAAACCCTTACGAATACACACCTCATCTTTCATGTAAGAGGCTACTTTGCATGCAGTAAGGATTATTTATGTGACTAAGTTTTCAGAAGTAGTTTGATGAATGTTATTCCTCAACATCTGGCATTAAAAAGAGCGAATCCAAAGATCCACATTTAGTATTTTCCTTTCCATTTAAAGTCCTGATTTCATTAGAGTGAAAGAACAAGATTGTAACTTGTCACCAGGTCATCAGCTCTTCAGCAGAATTCACTTACTGTATTCAGGGAGAATAGATATGACTGCAAATGAGAGTCTTGGGATTTAGCCAGAATATCTTAAGAATTAACAAAATCCAAAGTCATCTTCTGCTATCCGACATCGTATTCTGCAGAAAAAAACATGCTTACACAACAACCTAAACCAAAAAGGTATGAATAAGTCTTCACTCCAGCATTCCTTTATCATGGTGTAGTGTGAGGTGATTGGCCGGTTTCCACAGACTTTTCTACCAGAATAATTTTGTTCCTGACATTTTAATGTATTAATCAATTACTCAAAAGCATTTGTATAGCAATAACCTCTACTGAGGTCATACCTGTATTCCATTCATGCCCACAGGTAGCCCAAGGAAGCTCTGTAGTAAAGCAGTTAAACAAATAGAAGATAGCCCATGCTAAAATGATGATGTAATATACATTTAGATGTGCCTCTATAACTTGGGTAGCATATCCAATGCCTAGAAAAAAAAATGTGAGACACAATAGAAAATGTTTATTTTTTAGGTAAAAACAAATGCTTATTACTTTAAGTATATTTTAACTTCAATTTTGATACAATTTAATTTATTTTACTTCAATTTTAATGCATTCTTTCGCAGTACAACACAGAACTGTTTGTTACCTTCAAATAGAGGGCAAACTTTCCTCCAGCATGTAATGCCTCCTTCACTAGTAAACTGTCCCAAGGCCGTCTCCAAGAAAAATACTGGTATTCCACAGCAAATAAAAAAAACCACATATGGGATGAGGAAAGCACCTACAGGAAACATTGAGAGGGTATTAGTTATAACAAACACATTTTATTTTCCTTATTTTCCTTAAAATTCCTTATTTTCCTAATAAAGGAAGGATCACCTATTAGCCACCTCTCAGGCATTGTGCTGAAAGTGCAGAAAGCGTTTACTCCTGGCCTCAAATATCAAAAGTTAACATGTAAGCCACTGTCATGGACTAAAAAAGACCAGACCAAAGTTCCTCAGTACCAATGAAATTCTGCTCATGTGTCCCTCCAACACAAAAAGGACCATGGTCTTGCTCAGCCCAACGGTTCTGCTCTGATCATCACCAAGTCAGTCTACACTATCTTCTCTTCCTTGCTTTTCTCAGGAAAGCAAGGATGAAGAAGCATTATGGAAATTAAAACCAAGAAGTCCTTTATGTGTTATTTGGATAAGCCTGATAATAAGGATCATGAAAAGGGAATGATGAAATAAACTTTAGAACAACTTACAAGAACAGGAAAGCACGGCTTGGCCTTATCAGCTGGAAATATTAATGTAAAAATGCAGGAAAATAACAAAGCATCAGTATTTTTGTTAGATGCTGACAGTAAACTCCAGCAGAGATAATGAATAGTACAATTCAGTGCTGAAGCATTGTATACAACAACAACAAAATCTCAGCGATTAACACATAGCAGAAGTATTGTATTATTTAATGATTGATGATGCTGTCAGGTATGGCACCTAAAGAACATGGCTGTGAAGTATGTTAAAGCAAAGAAATGAGAGAAGATACTTATGTTAGGCATAATGTCACTTGCTAATAACCTGGATTTGGGGTATTCCATTTAGAACGGAACCTAAATAATACAGAATAAAATACAGCCTTTTGTCTACATGGAGAATCAGTTAACATATAAGGCATAAAGAATTTTTTTTCCTTATTCCTCAAGTATTCAGACTTTCTGATGAGTCAAAGGATGAGGTGGAAAGAAGCAACTATATTGGTTTAGACTAAAACAAGGAAAGAAGGAAATAAATACGGAGAAGAAAGCAGAAAATAACCAATTCTGCCATTTTTACTTATGCCAAGAAAGTTTTACTGGTTTAACCAGACTAGCACAGCAAAGTACTGCACAGAATAATTTATCTGAAGTTGTAGGAAAATTACAAAGCTTTAAGTTATGAAAATAGAGATTAGTACAACACACATGATGTGTTATATCCAGGCCTGGACCTACTCGCTCCCATACAAATAATCCCACAACACTAATTAACTTCATTTAAATGTCCCATTAAATGATGTAAGCATCCCACCGTTCATTCCATTTCAAGTCAACACAAGATATGCTAAACACACAAAAGTTTCCTGGATGCAGTTTTTCCTAGCAAGATGTGTTTTGCAGTGCTGTCCATCATTGCAGACATTGATCAGTTCTTTAGAACACTAGCAATAGCAGCATTTCCTTCCTTCAATGGGAGTCCTGAAAATCAGTTTGAGTATTAATGAACAGCACCTTAATAGCTACCTCTCTAAGACTAAATCTTTGTCAGAATATTAACTATGAACAAAATGTTTCTCAATATACTTCAGGAAAATTTCTACAACTACAAGGCAAATAGGTATCCTGTTCATGATCTTAAAAAACCAAACCACACCAAAACCCAAACACCACAACACACCCACAACCTGCAACAACTGTTACACTTTAGTCACTTTGATCAGAAAGTTGAGGCAAATAAATACAGCTGCTTTGACCCACAGTTTCTTTCTTTAGCCCAGCACATCAAGAGAGATCTCTCCATGAGTAGTCTCTTCCCTCAACCAGGCAATCTGCCTAGAGTTGAATCTCGGCTGCATCTCAAGCAATACATGAGGATTTCACAAAGAATGAAATCCTAAATCCTTACATATAAATCATGGTTTCTCTGTATGATGTACTGTACAAACGGTTTGAACAAAATCCTTATAGGCTGGGCAAACTGCTGGCCAGTAACAAATTCAACTCGGCCCACTCATATGCGCAAATCATAACAAAGTTAACCTGGGAACTTGTTGAAAGTATTAGCTTTGACTCTATTTTTCCAGCACTGTTCTGCAACAGGTACACATCATGAAAATTAGAGGACATCGGGTTTCCCATATTTCAAGAAATATCTAATTCTAAACATGCAAAGAAATTAATTTACCTAAACCCCCTACTAAATATCCATAAGAACAAATTAAAATCGTAGCAGCTTATGCCTACACTACCTGTTACGACTCAGGTAAGTACCAGAGAGAGCTTAGACCTCAGAAGTTCCATACAACTGCTTCTAGATTCGTTCAGTATCCAGCAAGTTATTTCATAACTAGCTCATATATCTTACCATTGTCTTCACTTACCACACACAAAGTAGTTTTCAGTATTTACATCTGATGCATGAAACAAGTCCAACTCTGGTCTAATTCCAGCAGGGCATTCCAGAGAGTTACAAAAACACAGGTCATAGACCAAGTCCTCATTGAATAAAATTGAAGTCAATGGCAAATTTCCCGTGGTGCCAGGACACGACCAATTAAACCACATACATTAATTCTTAAATAGTGGTGATTAAGTATGATATTTAAGTAAGTACTTTTTCATGAAATCACCCAAAAACATGGTTAGAATTTTTCTACCTAATATTATAGCCTTAAAAATTATAACATCACATTTTGACAAGCTAGCATATGGGCATGTAAAGGTTACTGTATTAACAAGGAAATCTTCATTATCTACTGAAAAAATATTTCTACCTTTTCCTCTGCCAAAATTTCTCTGGGAAAACTTTGACAACCAACAAGAAACTGTTCTGCATATCGTATCCAGCATATTACTATTTATGTACTAAGAGCAGTACTTGGTAGCATCATTCTGAAAGCAGGTGAATTCTTGTTATCTTAGTTTTTCCGAAGTACAGATAAAGAAAGGAGCTGCAAACCATAAACACATCTTCCACAGTAGCATTAGCCTTATAAAAAGAGCAGACAAAATGGGCCAAAACCATCCCTGAGTTCAGACAACTGTGCCTAGTTTTGGAGGGGTAAGGGAAAGAAATTTGGCACAGCGTTGTTAGCAAACAAACCCACTGAAGAACAGATCTTTGCATATCAGCCACTGAACATATTATTTTTCCCCCAGCCTATACGCTTACACTAATACTGATTCAGGCCTTACGTGGGGAGAATGTTGAATCCAGTCCACAGAATTCTAAACTAAATTTTTAATTTACTTTTCATTCCTCATTGCTTTGCAAGTCACAGCTGACGTGCTTACTGTCACATATCTTACACAGTTTTTACTGAACTATAACCAATACATGCCACATATTATACTTTGGTAGAAGTCTGTTCTCTCCCAAATAATATCCTTATTCTAAATTTTATAGGGTTTACTCTCTTCTTTGAGTAACAGGCAGCTTTTACATCTTCCCCTACCCTACTGTAGTGATTTGGGAAAAAATTTTCATATGACAAAGAAAAAAACCATAATCTTTGTAGCATTATCAAAACCAATAATCACCCTCTCCACAGTACACTGTTGTAAAAAATAAACTGCTACGTTCCTTTCTACATCAGACAAACTTATTTAAGTATGCTTGCGTCTGTCTGCACATGCAGAAGAAAACACACAGTGCTATAACAGAACATTGGATTCTTCCACATTAAAAACCCTACAGATGTCAATTTACTAAAACAAATGAAAATTGTGAAAGTAAGCCACACAATACTTGTGGAGGAGAAGATAAGTGAAACACAATGACTTTTAGTTGCCAGATGCTTAATACTTCCCTATCCGCATGTACACTGAAATCCTGAATACCTATCTCTTACTAGTGCAAGAAAACGCTGTAAAGCATTCTTAACTGTTTATTTCCCACATGCTTATGGTGAGCTGTAAATCAACATATGATGCCATCTTACCTCCTCCATTCTTGTAGCAAAGATATGGGAATCTCCATACATTTCCCAACCCAATAATCTCCCCTGCCACAGAAAGCACAAATTCAACCTTATTGTTCCAGTGACCTCTTTCATGAACTTTCTTATCATTGCTGTGGACGAGGTTGGTACTTGAAGCTTCTGGGTCCAACGCATCTTCTGGCTTGCCGTTAATTATAGGAATAGTCTTTTCAGCTGTCATGACTGTTCAGCCTAGGGGAGAACAAAAGAAAAACATACAGATGTTTTAAGTCACTTGTTAGTAATAACCTTCAATGACTAAAGAAGTTCCTCAGCATATCATTGGCCTCTTACTACCTACATAAATTTACAGGTGAAAGTGAAGGAGGTAACTCCGTAAGGCTGGAAAAGTTATAAAGAAGGAAAAAAGGAAAAGAAAGGAAAAAAATAAGAAAAAAAAGACAGAAGCTTATGTACAAGGGAAGGAGAAGATTTCCAAGTTGAGACAGACAACTTAGTAGCACGACATCATTTTAAGGCACAGACAGTGAAGCCTTTCAAAAATCCCTCCCCAAGCAAGGATCCCAGCTTGACTAACCTACCAGAGAACAGAGATCTCCTGCACCTTCCAGGCACACAATTGAGAATAGAAGAAGAAAAGGATGATGGAGAAGGGGGCCTGAATGGTTCTGGCCTGCCCGGAGGAGTAAGGGAGCTCCCAGACTACTCACCCAGGGCTCTGCCTATGCCTGCGCGGCTAGGAGAGGAACAGGGTCTCTAGCCCAGTGCTCGGCTCCGAGCAGACCTCTGCAGGCTGCCGCTCTTCGCTCTGTTGCACTGGAGGCACGGGGTAGGGCAGCCGCCGGCGCCCAGCGGCAGAGGCGGGCAGGGGGAGGCGGGGATAACGCGGGCAGCGTTAGGATAGCGAAGAGCCGGGAAGCCTCGTCCTGTTCTGCAGCTGCTGCCCGGCCGGCCAGGGGGAATAGGATGCTCCCCGCGCTCTGGAGCCGGAATTTGCAAAT